CAATGAATCGTTTCCGCAAAAATAAAAATAAAAAAAATCTACGATTACAAGTTAAATAAATATAAAAACGCACGTGAGAAGAAAAAAAATGGCGGATTTTTTTTCTTTTCTTAAAAAAAAAAAAATTATTAAACGTTTTAAAATGCAAGGTACAAATTTCAAGGTTTGATAATTCATTGTAATATTATTATTATTATTATTATTATTATTATTATTATTATTATTAATTGTTCGATGGCCGAAATCATTGTTGCGTAAAATATTTTTTACCTCCGGCTATTACAGTAATAAAACATCCTAAATATATATTTTTTTTTTTTTTAAGGTAATTAATCAACGCAGACGAAATTTTTTTTTTTAATCAATTATTTAAATTTAAATTAATTAATTTAAAAAAAAAAAAAAAAAAAAAAACACGTACGTGTGTGTGTACACGTGTTAGCAGTCATCCAAATAACCGCATTCGTCCATGATAATAATAATAATAATAATAAATCGAATTTTCTTTTTCTTTTTTTTTAAAACGATAATAACGAAATTTATAGAATAAGAAAAAAAAAAAGATGGCGTCGCATTATAAAAAATGGCGAAACGAAATTAATTATAACGTTAATTAAATATATTTATCATTTTTATGATACTATTAACGTCATTAATAAATAATTGTTTATAAATAAATAAATATGCTTTTTTAGGTTACGCACACACACGCACACACGCACACTCCTTTAGAAAACAATAAAAAAAAAAAAGTAACTGCACATTTAACGTATTTATTTACGTGTCATAAAAAAAATAACATTATTATTCTGTCATACTTGGTTATTATCATCATTATCATCATCATCATCATCGTCGTCGTCGTGAGATTGCCCAATTATTATTATTATCATCATCACAGCGGACTTTCTCACCATTTAATGATGTTTGTTATTACCTATCGAAACGATGTTTAGTAACCTTTCAGACCTACTTGGGTCAAACAACGTCAACGACAAACAACAAACAAACAAACAAACAAACAAACGGTTAAAAAACGGTAA